TATATATAATAAATAATAATAACATTGATTTTATTTAAAATTTTATTTTTATTTTCAGATCTCAAATACTAAATAAAATTTAGATGATTAAATTAAAAAAATACTAATAGCAATTTGATGAATTTGTAGATGATTATACTTTTTATTATAATTAAATCAAAAATAAATGTAAGCCTTTTAATATTCTAATACTATAGCTAAATATCATATTAATAGATTACTGCTAGATTATATTTATTAATTAAACTTTTTAATGATTAAACTTGAAATATTACACTTAATTGAGTTAAGCAATATAAGCTTAAATATAAGAATACAATTGTAGTAAAAACATATATAAATAAATATATTACTTCAACAGGAAATAATAATCAAATTAATACTTTAAATAATATTATTGCTAATTTAACTCAAAGATATAATAAATAAATATAGAAGAAAAAGATTTAATTTAGGCAACTGTTAAAATAATATTAATAAAATAATAATCAATAAAATAATAATTAATAGATAATATAGAATTAAATTTTATAAAATAATCAAGAAGAATTATTATATACTTTAATTATAGACAACTTTGATATATTAGATAAAATTATCTATTGAAAATAATGAATAACTTAAATAATATAAATAATAATATAATTGCTAATAATTAATTATCACAAAATAATTTAATTATAATAAATACAACTTTAATAAATAATAATTACAAGTAAAAATGTTAACTAAAAATATAAATATATAAACTTTATAATTATTGATTATTATGAAATATTATAATTTATTTTACTAATTTATTATATAAAAAGATTATTATACAATCAGGATAAATTAAGATATATATATTATATAAAGTTTTATTAATATAATAATTACATAAAAATAATACTGTAACTTTATATTTATATTGATCATATATGTTATTTTAATAATAATATTTTTATATACTATTAGAAGTCTTAATTTAACAATGTTTCAAAATTTTTTGTGAATTTTATATCACGTGATTAGTAATTGACTAATAAAAAATGAGATATTAATCATTTTTTTTGTATATTATTTTAAAATTATAATAATTTAGACTGATATTATAATTAATTACCATAATACTAGCTTAAATAATTATAAATTTCAATTAATAATATATGTTTCAAATTCAAAACGATTATATAAAAATTATCCAATTTTAAATGTCTATAAATTTTTATATAGAACTTATTTTGAAAAATTGACTGATAAATTTAATAGAGCTTATCTCAAATAATAAATTATCAGTTTATTTTTTCTAAATTTTATTTTTTTAAAAAGTTAAAAGATTTTTAAGTGTATTTATATTGTTGAGTATAGACTTTCTATATCATATATTTTTGAAATCTAATATAAGTATTTTATTAATTTAATAGCGTTTTCAAAGGTATTTATATTTTATAGGTAATAAAAATAGATAAAGAGTAACTGCTTAGTTTAAATTAGAATAAAATAATATAAATAAGCTAAAAAAAAAACTTGAAAAGGATATATTCCTTCTTTATTAATATTTATATTTTGATATAGGTAAGATTTTTATTCAAGAATTAATTTAAAAAAATTTTTTAATAAATCAGATTATTAGCTATAAATTAGAACTTATAAATTTATTACTTAAAAATATAAAAAAAGTGTTTATAATAAATATCTTATAATAAAAATTTTCATATACTGTAAATCTTTATACTACTAATTTTATTAATATTAAATTATTTATATTAATAATTTGTTTATAACATGTTACCTAAATCTATACCATTAATTTAAAAATTATGCAAATAATTTATATAAGATTTTAATAAGTATAAAAGAAAGATAAAACTAAAATTATCACATAACAGAATAGAAGAAGATATTTCATATAAAATCTAGAAATATATATATATAGGTAAGATGATCAAAAAAATTTTAATATAAGATTTATGCAAATTATTTTATAATAATAATATGTATAGTTGACATATGATATTAAAAATTCTATAAAATTATGCAAATAAAAATTCTAACCATTATTAATAATGTATAAATTATTATCTTATTAATACAAAAAAATTCAAAAAAATTTTTAAAATTTATTCAAAAAAATTAATTATAATAAAATAAAATAATAATATTTAAATACTTTTATTTGATATTTTTTTTATAAAGTATAGTAATTTTGCAATATACATTTATATTGATATAGTATTTAATAAATTACACAAATAAATATTCAAAAAAATAAAAAATTTGAGGATTAATATAATTACGAAAGTTTTTACTTAACAAATATTAAACTAATCAAAGTAAAATTTATATATAAGTAGTTTTAAATATATAGATATATAAAATATTTTTATTTAATATGCAGTAAGCAATTTATTTTAACCAAAATGATTAAACTAATTTGTAAAATTAAAAAAATGTGACTAAATTAATAAAATTACAAAAAAATTATTTCTATACAAATTATAGATGAGAGATAAAACCCTTAATAACAGTCAAAACTTAAATGAAACTATATTAAAATCATAATAAGGGATATAATGAAACCTATTTAATATGACAAAAGCTGAAACTGTTGAAACTATATTAAAATATAGAAAAGGATATGACAAAATTATTTTGAAAAGATTTAGTAGATATCTATAATACGAATATTATACTAAGCTTAATAAAAAATTAAATATAAATAATATTAAACCTGCTGAATAATTTTACTTAAAGATAAAAAATGATTGACTTTAACTAAAATACTTAAATTATCTGTAAAGTTTAAAAAAGTTCTACAATATTAATAAAGTTATAAAAATATATATTACTAGAAAAATATTAAACTAATATTGATAAAATTATATATACAAATAATTAAATTTGCTGAATAACTTTTAATTAAAGATAAAAGGTGATTAATTTTAACTAAAGTATTTAATTTTCATCATAAAATTTCTGTATTAATATTTATAAAAAAAGATATTAAATATAGGATTTATAATTTATTAATATTACGTAAAATCACATATAATATATAAATATGATAATTATCTTATAATAAATATAAAATTTGCTCAGTTAGTTTAGTTAGTAGAACATTAGATATTTTTATAATAGAAATGTAGATTCAATTCTTACACTAAGTCTTTTAATTTTTTTTACGTGATTTTTTGCTTTATTCTAAAGTTTCAATTATTAAAAAAACAATGTGTTATATTATACATAAAAGCATTATATCAATCATTATATACTTAGTTATAATTATGTAAATGATATAATATGCTATAAATTTTATAAGATTTTACATATTTTTAAAAATATTTTTACACTATTTTCATTTTTTTTTCTTTATTATAATACTTATCTTTTTTACCTTTCTTTCTTGAAGTATTTTCTTTTCTTTGCATTATTTTCTCTTTATATTATTAACCTTTTATATAATATTTTCTGCTTTTCTTATTTTTTAGCTTTAGTAGTAACATGAATTTCAATATTGAAGGAGACTTTGCAAGTCTATTTTCTGAAAAAACATTTATAAGCTGACTGATATGTAATAAATTTATGTTTTATTGTGATAAAAGTAAAGGATTTAGTGTAATTAAAGATAAACTTGTTAAAGAAAGAAATAATATTAGACAAAGAATGTACATATATAAACATAAAAAAAAATATACATCCAAATCTAATAAAAATATTAGAACTAAAAAAAATATCATACAAATGATATATAAATGCTTCTTGTCCTAAAGAGAATAATTCAGATTCTGCAATTTTTATTAAAATAATGGTAAAAGAACATAATCATGACTTGAATATTAAAGCAGTTGCATTTAAGAAAAACAAAAGATTTAGTGATGAAATGATGAAAAATATTAAATTTTTGACATAACACTGTAAAATAAGAGCAACTGTATAAAGAAGATATTTAGAAGTCAAGTATCCTTTTCATCTAATTTTTAGTCAAGATTTGTATGCATTAATTAAAAAATTTTAACTTATGGTGAAGTCACTTTCAAATGACACTATACAATGGCTTGATAAATAGAAAGAAAGAGATTTCAGATGGGTTGTTACAAGGGGATGGAATGATGATAATACATTAATACATTTAATATGGATGATATCAAAACTGGTAGAAAACTGGATTCAATTAAGTGATTGTGTTATCAATGACATTACACACAAAACAAATCGATATGGGATGTCTTTATCACTTTTTATAGGATTTGATCAAATATATAAAACATTATTTTGTACAGGGTTTACTTGCAGATAAAAATAAACAGTCTTATTTTTAGTTTTTTAAACAGATTATTGAGACTACTGGCATTCATCCCATTGTAATTATAATAGATTCAGATCTGGCAATTAATGCTGCAGTAAAAGAGGTATATATAATGATATATTTAGTTAATTGTGTATTTTATATAATACAAACTTTCACAAAAACCTTCGAAAACATCTTAGAGATCAATACGAAAAATTTCTTCAGGATTTTTACCTGTATAGAAATAGTATTGTCTAGACAATGTTTCACAATCATTTTGCAAAGCTAATTAAAGACTATTCACAAAGCAAAGAAGGTTTATACATATCAAAGGAGTATTGGGTACATTAATATATAAGTTTTAAATTCACTAGAGGAATGATTGCTTCATCACACGTTGAATTTGTAAATACATGCATTAAAAGCATGTTATTCAACTCTGATATTTCTCTTTGTGAACTTATGTCTGTAATACATAGGTTACTTAATGAGTAGGATAGAAAGAACAGATATTAAGATTGCATGCTCGCTATACTATTCGTGCTGTAAATTTCGCATCGCCAATTATTATAATTAAGTCCGGGCCGGGCTTCAAAATTTGGACTTATTCAGGTCTCTATTTCAAGATTAGAAAATGGAGATAATGAAATCTTTATTCTTTCTGATAATGAAGATTCTGACACTGATAATGATATGAGCGAAATGGATGTAAATAATATATATACACAACCATTGAGATCTGTTAATGAGTGGAGATAATGAGTGGAGAAAGATGGTAACATAATTGTTATAATGGTGGGAAAATTCATAAGTGAACAGGTATTTTCAATTGCAGAATTTAAGCTGTGTAATTACGTAATCGATTAGATCCTGATACATATTCATATTATTCATAAATTGTACATTAATTTTAATAATTAAAGCAATCGATTTTATTGTCCGTGTCTATAAAAAAGTACTCTAACTATTTGTATTTAAAAACTTTAATTAGCAGGGTTTGCAACTGAAACTAGCTAGCCAACCAGGTGGCGAGAAATATGTTATGACCAGAATTATATTAAATGATGATGTTAACGTCGATGAAAAATATAAAAAATTTATAGTCCAACCATATCTTGCTTATACGTAATTTCATAATATTCCAATTTATCTCCCACTTTTTCCTCCGCCTCCAAAAATACACCGTCGTCGTTCATCTTTACGGCAATGACTTTGACATATAATTTATCTTCAAGTTTGATTTTACGGCCCACAAGATATGAAGCTTTTATCATTAAAGAACGAATTTTCTGAATGTAAAAAAAGAGTCAACACGACACCTTCACTAAATATCTATTACTTCATAAGTAAATTAAAAAAAAATACCTTTTTTGAAGCTTTTTATTATTCTTATTTCCCTTCTTTACTTTCTTTGGGAAGTCATCCAAGCCATCAAAATTCGAAAAATTCGGTCTTTTATTTACAAATTGTTTCGGACTATGAAAAGAAATGGTATTAACTTCTGATATTGTTTTGTAATTAAGAACAACAAGATGACAATTTACGTTTGATCAATAAGTTCCTTGTACATAGTAAGAAATCCTTTCTCATTTGCTGTTCTATCCACCCATTCCGCGGACAATCTGATTCTTTTCAAGTTCTTCCTCAATTGATCTGTAGTAAAAGACACATAAGAAAAAGAGATCAAAAAAAAAAACAAAGATGATAAATCACTTACTTGTTTGGATCAAAACCTCTAGCTTTACATTTTTCTGGGTCCAAATATGTATCGCCATATATAGTCGTAGTACAACAAGCTTGATATTCTTCAGCTGCTTTTTGTGTAGCTTCGTAAAGGTCGCGAATAATTTGCTCTGTAAGGGTAAACCATAAGTATATAAATAGCTTGGCAAAGTAATAGTACGTTCACAAAAAAAAACTCACGGTTATCTTGTTCTAGGACGTTAGACATTAAACAAGCAAAAAAAAACGAAGTGCTGGGAAAACGTTTTTGGAAAAGGAAAACTTCACGTTAGTAAATGCCTTTTTATTTGCTCAATACTTGTTTTCCACGTGATTTAATATGACGACATGACTTACATGGCGTCGCCACCAAAAAATGGTAGCCGGATTTTATTTGTCGGGTATTTGTTATTAGGGTTGGGGTAGAATTAGGATTAGTTTAAGGGGGTTAGAAAATTTGTCACATCGCGTCACATCCCAGCCGTTCTTCAATTTACTAAGTATTCTGGGAACAGAAATTATTTTGAGAGAAAAATGCTAATTGTCACAATTATATGTCACCCGACATTCTTATGATTCGCATTCTCAATGGATTTTTTTAGGACAAAAACAAAAATCCTATTCATGCTTGATCTCATATACTACGGCCAAACACACGTGCATCATGTCAGTTCCTTTATATTATTACACAGATATAGATACATTTATTTAAACTCATTATCGTTTTTTTTGATCAATGAACCTTACATCAACCATACTTTGCTATCCAATAACTAAATTTTTAATATGGTCAAGTTAGGGTTCCAATCATATTGTTAACGTTATTAAAGTTAGACATGGCGAAAAAATAATTTTTTATTATTCATATTACAGTTTTGTTGTTTTGTACTAAAAATATCTTTAAACAAATTCCCATTTCTCAAAAAAAAATAAAATATAGAGGGGCATTTTGCTAGTCCATGTCCCATATTGTGGAGCGCTACATGTGCATTAAAGAATATTTGTCTTATAGTTAAAAAATCGAAAAAGTTTCCTCGTAAGTTCAACAACATGACCTGGCTATCTATAACCTCCAACTTTCCTTCGTCAGATTCGTTGCCTCTGAAAACTTTCTCACTGAATTCTAGCATCTTCTTAGCATGCCTACCGTACATGAAGCCATTTTGCGCTTTGGAAATTGGATCATTCAGTATGACTTAGGTGCAACGGCGCTAACTGCTTCATATGGTTCAAGTTCAAATCATTATAGAGAAGTCGTGAATATACTTGAAAAATGCAGGCTTTTTCAGAATACAACATAGTGTATTCCGCCATAATGATGGTTGTTACCTTCAACATGCAATATTTGTTATGAATACAATCAGAAGATTATCATGGGCAGGCGGTACAGCTCCAAATTTAGCTCCTCATATAAGGAGCATTATAATTTCAATTCAGGTAATGCCGTACATGAATATGATAAATTATGTTCGTGGAGGTCACCTACCTCATATTCCAAACTTTTGATTTAAAAGAAATCAATACTTAGGTGAGTAAAAGACCGCAAACTTATCTCTTCAATTGTTTTGCAGGAAAATTTTTACTTGATAATTTTAAGTAATAAATTTCTATAGTATTTTCTTTATTGTGATGAATAAAGATTTATAAAAAGTTATTGAGATTTCTCCCCTTTAATTATTAAATATTTTCATTTATTACATTAGGGACCGAGTTCATTTAGCAAGCTAATTATATTTAATAGCCTAATATAGTAAAGTCAAAGCGCAGTAAATTATTTTTTAATCTGATCTTGTGACTTACGTTATCAGAAGTCTTTAATATAGCAATTGGATATTGCAATTGGATATCTTCGCGGAAATTAATTTTTTTTTTTAAAAAATTTTATTATTGTGATTATATCATTTAAAAAAAATATATATTATAATAGTTGCTTTTTTAGGTTGAAAAGATAAAAGTTTTCTTTGTTCCATTATATTATTAATTATAATAAATATTTGCTATGACACCAGTATCTGATTTCTTATAAATATAAATTAAAGTTCGTAAATTCTTTTTTAAAATTTTAGTTTTCTATATAAACTTTACATTAATTTTATCACAAATTTAATTATGGATTTCTATTTCAACTTTTCTTAAAAGATTTAATTTAAATAATTTTCAAGAAATAAATAACAATTCTTATAATGATTTATTTCTATAATTTCAAATCATTTCAACCAAAATCTTCAGTTATTACCTAAGTCAAATCATCAGTATGAAATGTTACACATTTTCAAAAACATAAGGATAAAACAATCAACATTTTAACACATAATTAATAAAATTATAATAATAAAATTTTTCAAAAAACAAAAAATTCCTATAAAAAACATTTATCTGTTGATAAGATGAAAATCCACTATATAAATAATTGATTTAAATTTGGAATTGTTGAAGAAACTATTTTGCTATTTATATCAAAAAATTATCTCAACTCTTAAATATTTAAAATCTTAAGTTATTATTTAATCATATAATATTAGAAATATATAAAGGATCTGAAAAAAATGATTTCTTAATGTTATAAAAACTTTAGATAAATTTATTTAAAGCTTCAAAAAAATATAAGGTTATATATTTTATAAAAAAATACTATTATACAGTCAGATCTAATTATAATCATCCCATATATAATTATATTCTATCTATTTTTATTTATCTTTACTTTTTTTTTGAATTTTAACAATGTAATACTACCATAAATTTTATTAAAATAGATTTATATTTACAAATACATCAATTATAAAAATAAAAAACAAATGAAAAATCTAAACTAAAATCACAGCTATCCCCATAGCTCTATTTCAAGTACATTTGAGTTGACTAATTACTGGCTATTCTTTTTAGATACTCAAAAAGACCATTTTTAATAAGTAGATTTTCAATAAGAAAGGTTAATAGAAATTGTTAATATTACAATGCTTTTCTTCTAATTGTCTATTAATTCTCTAACCACAAAAAATTTTTATTTTTTTAGAACAAACAAATCTAAGATTAATTTTTTTTAAAAAAAAAGATAAATAATTTATTATAAGTTTTTAGTTAAGTTGCTTAATTAATTCTAGATTATAGTAATCTTCCAGTACAGAAGTATTTATATAAGCGTTTTGTAATAAAAAGGAAGGAAATTACTAAAAAATTTTTTTTGAATTAATATTAAATCTGGATTATTTTATTAAAAAAAATGATATTTAGCTTATAAAGTAAAAAATTTTTTTGGTAGTTTTTTTCTTTTCTACTGCATAGTATCTATATCATTAAATTTCTATAGAGTTTTTTTAGATTTTCACTTTTTAGCTAAAATGTCTATCAATTCAAATTATAGTTAATGTTAAGTATTACATAAGGCTTAAATCAATGAATTGAATCAAGCCTGAAAAATTCTATTAAAATCAGCAAGCAATTATAATATTATAGATCTCAAAAGAGTTTAATAATTTATAAAGGTAATTAAATAATTATCATATAAAATTTATTTACATCTAAAATTATATTAATCCTAATTATTATTTCAGATATCTCCTAATGCTCACTTTTTTATAAGCAAAAAAAAAAAAAATAAACGAGAAAAATAGTTAAAAAAAATAGTAAAAAAATATTTTAAGAAAAAAATATCACTGTTTAACTAATAATAGACTAATTTTTGAGTAAAGATATAGAAATAAATAGAAAAAAAAGATTGAAAAGTAAGTTTTTATTTATTACTTATAGGTTAAACTATGACTATCCTTAAATTATGCATGAAACTGATAATAAAATCAAAAGTAGAAATCTTTCTACTTTAAGATTATGGTTGAAATTAAAAGTTGAAATTAATTATAAGAGTTAAAATATATTACAAAAATCAAAATTGATTATAATAGTCAAAATGGTTGAAATACCAATCATATTCAAATATGAAAATAATTTTTATATTTAGAAATTATAGTTACATAACAATTCTGATCATGTAATAATAAAATCAACAAAAATTTGTGAAATAGGTATTATTAAAATAGGAAATGATCGATATAATTATATATATATGTAACATAAATAGTGACAAATAAAAAATTATAGTCTTGTAAAAATAATTAATTTTTTTATATCTTATTATATTGAATTAGACTTTTTATAATTCTAATAAAATCTATTTATCTCACTTTTATTAATTCTGGTAGATCTTATTTATTTCGCTTAATTTTGATTAAATTTACTTGTTTTATTTCTATTATATTATTTTAACCTGAATTAATTGATCAATATAAAAATATTTTTTTAGGATTTTGTATCACCTTAAAGCAATACTTTTCTGAATTTTAATAAGGATCAAAATTTTTTTTTGGATTTTTATAATATCATGTAACTTTAATTCTGACTAAATCATGATTTTTTTAATATTTACATTATAATACATTTTAACTATTATAATCAATTTTGATTTTTATAATTAATTTTAACCCTTATAATACATTTTAACTATTATAATTGGATTTTGACTTTTCAAATTTTTTAATAAATAATCAAAATCAATTTCAACTATTTTAATCATCGTAATAATTTTGATTATTTTAATTTTGATTTCATATATATTTTAAATGTATACATTTTTTACATAAAATATTTTAGATAAAATTCAATGAAAGAGAGAATTTTATTTTATTATTTAATTTTTTATTATTTAATTTTACATTTTCAAATATTTAAAATCAAAATACTTTTTTATAATCACCATTATATATTAATTACTATTATTAGTAAAAAAAATTTTTTAGGTTTAGATTATTAGAAAATAAACTGTATATTATTGTCATTTTATTTATTAAAAATTATATTTAATTCTAGCTAAAATATTAAGAATTATTGTTTTAGAATTTTATATGATATAAAATTGCCTTTTTGAGTGATACCATTTTACAAAAAATATTTTTCTATTTTTTAAAATTACCATATTAGATATTAATGTAACTTTAATTTTAAAAAAATAAATTTTTATAATTCTAACTAGAATTATTAAATCATGATTTTTACTATAATCACTAATTTTGATGGGTCAAAAGTAGTAATTATAGATAATTCTAATTATACTATTTATTTTTAAGTTATTATTGATCATTAAAAGTTATTTATATTTTACAGTAGTGGTGGAAAAAACTGGCAGTAAATGAAAATTCATTTACTCGATCACTATTTATTAAAATCTTTCAAAACTTAAAATATAAATAAACTAATACCACATTTATTATATATTAAAATTTTAATATTGAATTACATTAACATTCCTTTCAATTACCAAATTTACCCTTCTTTCCATACTATTGACTAAATTAAGGCAGAGGTTTGATCGATATTAAACTATTCACCCTTAATAATTTTCATAAAAATCCTTTGCGTAATCAGTTTTTTTCACTAATTCATTTATTGATCTTCTTTTCCACCCTTTTCTTGATAATCACCCACAAATTTTTTATTAGATTCAGATCTGGGAAATATGACAGCCAATTGAGAACTGCAAGACATCAATTTTTGAAAAGAAACACCGTAAACTTGGCATTGTGCTTCAGATCATTGTCCTGTTAAAATGTTCAGGATCTTCCAAGAAGCTGATATACTTGATCAAAAAGATTATTTGTTAAAATTTCATGATACAACTCCCCATTCATGTTTTCAGTAAACATGTGAAACCCAACAATTCCTTGCAAACAAAAAGCCCCCTAAACATGAACTATGAAGGGGTGTTTGACAACTCCACAAGTTGGTTTTTCTTCACCCTCTTTATAATAAACTAAGATGGTATTACAGAACATTTGAAAGGTCGTTTCATCAGAAAAAATCATATTTTCCCAATTTTTATTTTTATGAACCTCTACCCAAGAAACTCGTCTCTCTTTTGTAATTGAAGTGAGAAATGAGGTTTTTTTAGGAATACAAACTCGGTAACTAAGCTTTCAAAGATTTTCACAGACTGTGCAAGTAGCTATATTAAGACCTGAGTAAGTATTATTAAGAGTGTCTGCAATTTTAAAACTTGTTATACTAGCACGTGAACGAGTGAACTGATCAAGATGACGCTGCTTTTTTGAACTTAAAACCTTTGGGCGTCCTGAACGACATCGTTGTTTTAAATTTTTGGTTTTTTTTAACTGTAATGATCACCGATACAGTGTCCTTAATGGGAACTTGGTAATTTTGTGTAGTT